CTGGGATTGGTGGGTCAGCAAGATAGTGGCAGCATATTTCCCTTTCCCTGTCCCTTTTCCTTTCCCTTTCTCTCCACTTTAATTTCTTCCTTCCTTTCTCCCTCYCTCCCTTCCTTTCGCTCCTTTCCCTCTCTCCCACCCCCTCGCAGCAGCTGCACCCCCAGGTGCCCCCCAGCCCAGGGCGCAGGGGCTGGATGCCAGCACCCCGCAGGGGGGTGGTCCCAGAGAAGGGGGGGCTCAGCCTTCCCTTTGTCTGTCCCACTCTCCCCATCCCTTTTGCCCGCTGCCATCTGTCCCCGCTCGCCTCCGCGGGCGCCGGCAGCCCTGGATGGAGCGCAGGCCTGGCAGGGCTGAGCGAGGGGGCGGCCGCGCCGCCTGCCTGGGGGGGTTCCCCCCGGCCGCTGCCATCTCCCCGTGCCGGCCGGGGTCGGCCGAGGACAAACCCGCTCGCTCCCAGCGCCGCTCGCTCGCAGCCGCCGGCCAACGTGCTTGCGCCTCCCAGGCTCCCGCCCGGGCCAGCTGGCCGCGGCCGGCGTACGTGGCAGCGGGGCGCGTCCGTCCCCCCGCCACCGCCCCGCCACCTCGGGGGATGCCTCCGGCCAGGACCTCCCCGGGGCTTCGCTCGGCGGGGGGAGGAAAGCTCCCGCCCCCGCAGCGTTCGTGGCCRAGGCCCAGCAAAGTCACCTCTCCCCGACGGCCCCGCAGCTTTCCGGGCACGGCGGGGGGCACCGGGCGGGGGAGGCGTTATACGGAGCAGGGTGGGGGGGTCCCGCGCTCCGGCGCGCCGGCCGGCCCGGCTGAGCCAGGATTTACCCGGCACACGCGGCGGTTCATGGTATTATATAAAGGAGGTTACACAAGCAGGACTGTTCCGGGTTTATGTAAGGGCCACCCCAGTCTGGAGGCAGAGGGATGGACAGTGGGACGGGAAGCGGGGCRGGCAGTGCTGCTCGGGCCCGGGGGGTCGCTGTGAGTCTGGGGTGAGGAGTTCTGGGGTCTGACGGCAGGGCCCCCAAATCGCACCCTCCCACAGCCTCGCTCACCCCAGCCCTTGCAGTGGGATCTGCCCCACAGCATTCTGGCTCCCTCTGGTCTCCCGGGGTTTGCGGACCGGAGCTGACCAGGCTGTTCACTGTGGCCAGCAGGAGGGGTGCAGTGGCAACTGAGGAGGTGCTGGGGCTGTGTGACCACGGAACTGAGGCAGAGGAGCAGATCCGCCTCAAGCCAGCCCCAAGGGAAACTGAGGCACGAGGCAGGAGCCTGCAGGGAGCAATGCTGAACCTTCGCCCATCTCCTGCTCTTGGCTGGCAGAGCTGCGGGAGGAGGAGGAGTAGGAGGAGGAGGAAGGCTGCTGCCTTCAATGGGGGGCTGGGACTGCTCACCCCGGCGCCAGCAGCTCCCCCAGCCCCCGGCATCCTCCAGCCTGTGCGCCTGCGCCCGCGCCGTTGCCGGTAACACCGTGCCCTGTTACCGTCAGCGCTCGGGCACCGAGCCAGGGCTCTCTCGCAGCTGTGCCAGCCGCGGGGGGCAMCCGGCCCGCAGTGACACCCCCCGGGGCCGGCCCTGCCGCCCGGGGGTCGTTCCCACGCGCCGAGACCGCGGGCGGGTGTCGCCGTGGGGCCGGGAGCGCCGTGCCAGCCAGCGGGGCCGGGGTGCGGGATCCATAATTCAATGGGTGGCACGGGGCCAGGCTGCCAGCGCGGCCCGGAGCCCAGGCAGCCCGCGCCCCCCCCCGGGCACACACTTGGCTATTTTTAAAAGAGATTGGATCGACCTGTTTGGGCACTGAGCGCTCTCCTCAGCCTCGCCGGAGACGACCCTGGCACGGAACCCCCTTTCCCCAGAGCTCCCCACAACGGGGCAGCAGGACCCCCCCACCTCCACCCCATCGCGGCCCTCCGACGGGGGTTGTGGAGGGCGCGGGATCAACGAGGCAGCGGGAGCACAGGGCGGGGGTGGTGTTGGTGGAGGGCTTTCCAGGCTTCTTTCTCCTCCGTGGTGCGGTCGAGCCACTTCTCGGGTCCTGGATTTGGAGTGTCCCCACAAGAGCCCCGGAGCAGAGCGAGGCCCGGGAGCGCAGGGCTCCCTTCGCCATTTTAGCGCGCCAGCCGGCGCGGGCGGCCGTCACATGGCGGTGAGAGCAGMGCTTGGCCCGGCCGCCCCGCGCCGACGAGGCAGCCAGAAATGTGCTGGGAGCTCGCCCGCCCGGCCACGAGGAGCGCCGGGGGTACCGGCCCGCGGCCCCGGCTCGCACCCGCCGCCTCCATCGCTCCGRACAGCAGGGTGCTGGGAGGCGCCGGCCTTGCTGCCAGCCCTCAGRGTCGGGAAAGTCCCAGGCGCTGCTCCGGTGGGTGGCACCGGAGCGCTCGGTTTGGGACAGGTCCCGGGTGTCCCTTGGGAATAGGGGTGGGTGAGGTGGCGTTGAGGGCGCTGGGTCAGGGTGATGCCATGCGATGGTGTGGGGGCACAGGGACATGAGGGTGACCCGGAGGGCACCCAGGCCGATGGTGGCCCTCCTGGGTGCCCTGGGGGAGCAGGGACCGAGCTGGGGTGGTTTGGTGTTGGCAAAGGTTCGTGTGGGACACCTCAGGGTGAGCAGTGCTGGGGGTGTGGGCGTGTGGGCACCCCAGAGGTGCCAGGCGTGGACATGGCCTGGGGGCTGCCCAGAGGCYGAGCACCCCCAGAATGGGCAAGTAGGTGCCATGGGGGAGGCGAGTGGGGCACCAGGGAGCCCTGAGGCCGCGGTGGGGGGCTGTGGGGAGCCGGGCCGGCCTCGGGCTGTGACCGCCAGCCTCCGCCCCGCGCCTTGGCCGGGCTCCACCGCTAACCACTTCCAGAGCCRCCGCCAGATTTGTTGTTTTTAGAGGCGAGGAGGGGCCATGTCCGGCCACGCGGTGCCCGTGGACGCACGGGGGGTCCCCGCTGCCACTCCCTCCTGTCCCAGCTGGCTTGTGCCCCGCTCACTCCCACCACCCGTGCCCCGACACTTGGGCATGCAGCAGCTACAAAATGGGGGAAGAGAGTTAAAAAAA